ACACAATGGGTGCTCTGGTCCTCCTGTTTAATAGGAAGGCATTCAGGCTCTCCTGAGCTTACCTTAACCTATAAAATCAAGACAATACTTCTTTACCTACCTACCAGACAGATCTGACAGCAAGAGTGGGGAGGGGGCCATGAAAAAAATGCTCTGAGAACTATAATACACTTTACAAATTTTAACATTAAGCAAGTTCAAGATCAACCTCAGCAACTTAGTGAGAAACTGTCTCAAAAAATAAAAAGGGGTGGGGAATTAGCTCAGTGGTAAATGTTCCTAGGCTTAACCCCAAGTACAAAAGAAAAGAATATGTTAAAATGTAACCAAGTGTGGTGGTGTACACCCATAATCCCAGTGACTCAGAAGGCTGAGGCAAGAGGATCACAAGGTTCAAGGCCCATCTCAGTGAGACCTTGTTCTAAAAATAAAAAACAAAAAGGACTGAGGATGTAGCTCAGTGGTAATGCATCCCTGGGTTCAATCCCTAACACCCCTGCCAAAAATTGTACATATGCATATATATGTATATTAGAATATGATATATTTAATAAGGCAAGAAAGCACATAATATATTTAAATAAAATTTCATTAAAATAGCTAAATGAAAAACATGGTATTAGTCTTTTTTGGTACACATGATAATAGAGTGTATTTTGAAATATTTTACATACATGGAATATAACTTATTCTAATTAGGACCCCATTCTTATGGTTGTACATGATGAGCGGCACTACTCTTAATAACAAAAAAACTAATTTACATGGCACCCAAAATGCTGAAGTTTTTTAAAACTTAATTATTAAGGACAAAAACTTTAAATCAAGAGAAAAGTATAAGTTTCTCTTTGGAAACTAGATGGGTTATATAGCTTTTCTTCTGATAGGAAGAATTTTTTTTTCAAAATGAGAAAATACAAAATATTTTTAGTGGATATACCCATATACAAAAATCTAGTCGGGCTCGATGGTGCACACCTGTAATTCCAAAAGCTTGGGTGGCTGAGGCAGGAAGATCGCAAGTTCAAAGCCAGCCTCAGCAACTTAGCATCTCAAAATAAAAAATAAAAGGGGCTGAGAATGTGGCTCAGTGGTTAAGTGCCCCTGGGTTCAATCCCCAGTACCAAAAAAAAAAATCATATACAAAAATCTAACATGATATGTGTGTGTGTGTGTATGCATACACACACACACACACACACACACACACACTAACGTAGTTACATTCTAGAGCACTATTTTATAAACCATTGGTGATAATCACTAATGGATTATGAAGTCAATTTAGTGGATCACTATGACCTTTTTTATCTTGCATGGTACTAGGGATCAAACCCAAGACCTTGAGCAAACCAGCCAAATACTCTACTACTAAGCTACATCCCCAGCTCTTTTTATTTTATTTTGAGACAGGGTCTTAATAAGTAGTCCAGGCTGACCTCAAACCTCAATTCTCCTACCTCAACCTCCTAAGTAGTTGGGATTACAGGTGTGTACCATGGAGACCGGCTTCTACAAACATTTTTTAAGAAAATAGGAAAGGAAATATTCAAGTGCACTGTATTTAATAAAGGTATCAATCCACAGAACATTGTTGTTCTTAACACATTAGCACTATGTGTATATGTATAAAAGTGCTGGGTAATAAGGTCAATGCCTTTCTTACATGAGGCATAGTCAAAAAGTCTGAAAGTTACTGATAAGAAAAATCGATAGTCATTTGGATTCCAGATGGCAGCTGAGGACTATGAAAAGCGATAGTTCTTAGAATGACCAGGAGACAGGAAGTTAAAAACCTCACAGCTAGGACCAGGTCAGCTGGATGGAGAGGAGGGCAATGTTATTTTTAAAAATTTTTCAGGCATTCTGGTACTTGTTATTCATCCTCATTCCAGCCCCCATTCCCTATGCTTGTGTTCTACAGCACAGCAGAGTGACTAAGTACTTAATAATCTATTATTTATGTCACAAAGAATTAGAAGAGGGGAGCTCAAGGCTCCAAACATAAAAAAATGCTAAGGAGACAGGAATGCTAATTACCCTGATTTGATCAATATACACTGCGTCCATTTACTGAAGTATTATACTACACCCCATAAATATGCACAATTATTACACATTAATTTAAAGTGAGCAATTTTTTAAAAAGAGAGCAAGATCACTAACTGGCTACTCACTACTGGGGGAGTAGAAGAGGGAGACTAAAGTCAAGAGTGATGCAGTGTGAGGAGGATTCAATCTACCACTGCTGGCTTTGAAGATGGAAGGGACCACAAACCAAAACATAAGGGCTGCTTCTAGAAGCTAGAAAGATTAAAGGCACAGATTCTCCCTGAGAGCCTTAAGAAAAGAATGTAGTGCTGCTGACACTTTGATCCCAGCTCAGAGACCAACCTGTGTCAGATTTCTACTCTACAGAACTGTAAAGCAATAATGCAGTTATTTTAAGCCAAAACACACAAAGCAACCGCCTGCCAAAAAAAAAAAAAAATTGTCAGGAAGCTACTTTGAAGAAAGAAAGAAGCATTCTTTTCAGTAATTAAAAAAAAAAAAAAGACAACTTAGCAAATGAGGTCCAAAAAAACATTGTCCTAAGTTTATAAAAGATAGGAGAATCCACTCCATCAAAACCCTGGTTTTGGTCCTATTTCCTCATCCGTATAAGAAGAAGATCAAACTAAAAGATCCTACCCAACCTTAATAATGACTCTGATGGCATTTATAATAATTCATGACAAGAGTGCTTAGTTTATAATAATAAAAAAAAAATTTAAAACAAAAAGTTTGCCTTTTTATATGACAATAAATAACATCTTAAGTAATAGGTTTACATATGCATATTTGAGTCTTAATGACTAATGTCGTATTTCTGCACACCTAAAAAGTCTAGCTAGCTAGGTAAAAATTATCCTTAGGTGATGATGTTACTTTTCACTTGGTGCCAATCATGGATAGCACAATGAAAGTACCTTGAAGGAGTTATATAACCTCCATATATCTTTCTTGTTGCTACGGTTCATTTAAAAGTTAAATTTTAAAAATGATTGTTGAGATATATTTACATTGTTAAATTAACTGCAATCAAAATGTTTTATAGACTAAAAGGTTCAATATTCTTAAAATTTCCTTTTAAGACACAAAAGGAAATTCTATAGTAGAATTTAGTTTCATCCTTTATTTTCTAGATAAAGGTATCAATTACTTCCTCAAGCTTTTTTGACTATTGTGTGGTCTTGACTGCGATCCCAGTCTCTGTGCTCCTTCCCTGATGGTAAGACCTATATGTTCCTTACTATCAGTAAGCCTTTCGTGGTCTATGCCCACTCCCTTGTGCTTAGGGCCTGCATGTACAAGAATGAGAGCTACAGTTCTAAGATACACAGAATTTAATGTATGTGTTATTTTAAGCCAAAACACATACATTATTAGTACATAAAACAGAGTTGCTCTGATTGAAAATATGATACATTTTATGAGGCATTTATTCACATAAAGATGTGTATTTTGTCATACAGATATCATATTTGGGACTACCTTTGCAACTAGCTGGAATCTGTTTTACTTCTAAGTAAAAGACCTCTAGCTCCTTCTATTTAGGAATGAAAAATGACAGCAAAGCAATACATAAAATAAGGCTGAATGGAGGTACTGTCAAAGGAATAAAAACAGATCAACAGAGCCAGCCAATCAATCATTGATAGCTATACTGTAGACTGCATACACACACACATACACACACATGGGTGTTTCATCATGCCATGAGTATAAATCAAGAAGAAGATATCTTTCATCTTTTCTTTCTTTTCATTCTAAAAGTCCATATTGCCCATCATCTCTCTTGCTCTACTGGCTAGTATCTGCTTGGAAAATTTTCTCCCAAATCAAATCATTCTGGTTGAACTGAGCAGACACAGGCCAGTCCAAATGACCCAAGGACAGAAATAGAGTAAATTCAGGTCTTACTGAATTCACTTCTCACTGAACTTGCTTATCTTTTGCCAAGTTTCACCTACACTGAACTATCAGGCATTTAATTTTACCAAATGCCATCCAAATAGTTGATGTTGTACCATAAATACTGAAAATGGAATGATCTTGATTTTTAATACTCCCTTTGGGCATTAATGCTAATTAGATCTAATTACTACTATTTTGTGAAAGGCACTCAAGGACTGAATAAAAGATGGGACTGGAAAATACACACCAAAAATATGTAAAAGTAAGGAAAAGAAAGTGCAAATCTCTGTAAAATAAGCATTTTGAAATATGCACTAAGGGGAAACGGAGGAAGTGAACAAGATGCATTTGTGCACTCAGGTCTTAAAGTCAGCAAACTTTTAAAATCAAACAAGCATAAAGCAGGCACTGTAGGAAAATGAAAGAAGGATGAAACTGGAAACAAGTGAACAGAATACTGATGAAAGGGAAACCAAACATGACTGTTGATAAATGTCTACATTATCACTATTCTACCAGAGAACCCCTATCTTCCAGGGAGTAAGAGGAAAACTGGACAATGCTTCTAGTCATTTTGTTCAGCCTTAGTGAAGGCTGATCATGAGAAAAACAAAAATGTCAGCAGGGATTTGTAGAAACAATTTTTTACTTAACACACTGAAAATATGAAAAGATTTCTGTATAAAACTGAAAGAGAAGAAAAAGAGAAGTTGTTTTTGTTATAGATATTAATTAAAAGTGTACTAAGATAATTCAAAATTGCAGGTTGGGTTAACAAAATTAGCAGCTAGTATAAAATTATGAAAAAAAAAAAAAAAACCACAGGTAATATCCAAAAACTATAAATGGATTTTCTGTCTAAAATATAACAAACTTATTTACATATCATATCAACTTAAGAGAAAAGTCATTAAGACTAGCATTAAACTTAACAAATACATAAAGCACAAAATACACAGAACCAGGCAAATGATACCTTTCTATAAATATAGTCATGCTGAGGACCAACCTCTAAGTTTATCCCTTTCCCTCAGTCAACTCACCCAACATTTTCTGCATCTTCATCACACTCAGCTTTATATTTGCAAGGTCCACACTTGGAGTGTTTTCTGTGAGCTTCTGCCCCTGACCCTTCCTCTTCTGTTTAAAAAGAGAAATTAAACTTTCAACCAAAAGTTGGGATCCTTTCCAGATACATTTCATGTTTTCATTACCCATTATCCTGTTTCTGGGGAAAAAATAGCCCCAGCTCTTGCAAAGAGTCACTTCCAAAATCTATCAATGCTGTTAATAATGAATACAATATAACCTGTAACACAAGTATTGTTGCTAGCAAAATAGATATGATAACGAATTGCTTTTAAAAGAATTACCATGTGGGCTAGAATTGTGGCTCAGTGGTACAGTGCTTGCCTAGCATGAGTGAGGCACTGGGCTCGATTCTCAGCACCACATATAAATAAATAAAATAAAGTCCACTGACAACTAAAAAAATTTTTTTTTAAAATTACCATGTGGGCTGGGGCTGTAGCTCAGTGGCAGAGGGCTTGCCTAGCATGTGAGAGGCACTGGGTTCAATCCTTAGCACCACATACAAATAAACAAAACAAAGGCATGGTGTCCATGTACAACTAAAAAAATTTAAAAAAAAAATACCGTGTAACACTGAGTAAGAGAGAGGATTAAAAAGTAATTCTGGGTTTCATTCCTAACACACAACCCCCCAAAAGGCAATAAATTCAGTTCTGTAATTACCCTTCTATTGAAATAAATCTGTATAATGCTGGTTAGCAGAACAATGCTTGAAGACCACAGAATGTAATTTCCACCCTTTTCCTCACATTAGTTTCATACCTGCCTTTCTAACTACATAAAAACTAATTCCAGAATTAAAACAAATATCTGTCTCCAAATTTTGAAAAGGAAAGGGGTCTTTTTATAAAGGACCTTTTTTCCCTTTGCCTACTTGGTCCCTTGGCACCTATGACCCAGCACAAAAAAACAGCAGAAATACTAGCACTCAGCTCACATCCCATACCTGAGGAGATCCTACATACATGGGTCTCAACCTCAGTGGATCCATATCATGATAATCTCAGACTAGGCAGGGAATCAGCACTGAGGCCAATTTAACAATTTCAATTCACTCAAGAGATTTCTCAATTTTGTTCAGGAAAGAATACAATTCAAATGATATCAATCAGTAAATAAGGTTTAAAAGGAAGCCAGGAATTGTGGTGCATGCCTGTGATCCCACCTGCTTGAGAGATTGAGGCAGGAGGATGACAAGTTCAAAGTCCAGCCTGAGCAACTCAAAATAAAACTTAAAAAGGTCTGGGGGTGTGGCTCAGTGGCAGAGTGCTTGCTGAGCATGCACAAGGCCCTGGGAGAGAGGAAAAAAAAGAAAGGAAGAATAGGAAGAACAGAAGGGAGGAAGGGAGAAATTTTTAAAGGAAATACCATGCTAAGTATAAATACTTCCAGACTTCCAATTTGGTGTGTTTGCCTGCACTCTAAGTAGAAATATTTCCAGGAAGATTTCAGAGATCATAATCCTAAGTAATTCTGAGGATTCAAAACATTATGAAATACTAGTACCACCAATAGCTCACTAAGATTTATATATTAATTTAAGTAAACTACTAATCTTTCTAATTCATACTCCTAAAAAGGACCAACTTACCTCCTTAGAGTAAGATATCCAATACCGTTTCATATTAGCAATTCCTGAAAACTATTCTCACTTCTTTTATCACAGGAACAAGAACAACTTTTTGACTGAATATCTGACCACAGGATCTAGACCTGATCTCTTAAAATCCTTTCTAGCTCTAAGATCTAGAAGTCATGGGCTGATCCTTCACACATTATAAAGTTCTGCTTGAATATGTCCATTTAAATCAAATTCTAGCTGTGCGCAGGGGCACACGCCTATAACCCACCCCAGCAGCTCGGGAGGCTGAGGCAGGAGGTTTGGGAGTTCAAAGCCAGCCCCAACAACTTAGCAGGGCATTAAGCAACTTGGCGAGACCCTGTCTCTAAAAATACAAAAAAGGGTTAGGGGTTTGGCTCAGTGGCTGAGTGTCCCTGAGTTCAATCCCTGGTACCCAAAAAAGTAAAAATAAAAATAAATCAAATTCATAGTTCAACAGCTTTAATCACTTTCTTTTTGGCTGAAGCTGCTATTCTTGAACTTCTTCATGATTGTTCTGTTCTCTAGATAACCTTTCAAGTCCTTTTCAACTCTTGAATTTTAGAAATCTATGAAATACAGAGTAAGGTGTAGTCTGGAATAGGGTTTCATGTGGTGTTGAATGATCATAACTGTAGCTTACATTTGGAGCAAATTTTCCCAGCATGAGTGTTCTTTTACGGTATCCTCATAGTACTTCAAATATTATTTTTCATACAATAGATAGAATTAAAACCTCACTAGACTGTGAAATAGTTTAGTCATTCTTTTTTTAATTTTTTTTTGTTGCTGACCTTTATTTATTTATATGTGGTGCTGAGAATCGAACCTAATGCCTCACATACACTAACCAAGTGCTCTAACCACTGAGCTACAACTCCAGCCCCTAGTTTAGTCATTCTTTTTTTTTTTTTTTCAGAGAGAGAGACAGAGAGAGAGAGAGAGAGAGGTTTTTTTTTTTAGTTTTCAGCGGACACAGCATCTTTGTTTGTATGTGGTGCTGAGGATAGAACCAGGGCCGAACGCATGCCAGGCAATCGCGCTACCACTTGAGCCACATCCCCAGCCCCCTAGTTTAGTCATTCTTAATTCTGACCATTTAAACTCTATTATTTGCTACTGCCAAATATTAATTTGCTCATATATTTGTAAAATAAAAATTAAAACATTAGAAAAAAAATTATTTTTTTGAGAGAGAGAGAGAGAGAGAACTTTTAATATTTATTTTTTAGTTTTCGGCTGACACAACATCTTTGTATGTGGTGCTGAGGATCGAACCCGGGCCACACGCATGCCAGGCGAGCATGCTACCGCTTGAGCCACATCCCCAGCCCCAAAACATTAGGAAATTTTAAGGGTTTAAACTCTAAATTTCACTGGAACTATTCTGTAAGTTCTCCCTTTTCTATACAAAACTGACTCTGAGTATTATGACCCTGTACCTTAAAAATTCCTAATGATAGAGCTGGGCGCAATGACACATGACTGTAATCCCAGTGGTTCAGGAGGCTGAGGCAAGAGCATTGTAAGTTCAGAGCCAGCCTTAGCAACTCAGAGAGGCCCTAAGCCACTTGGCAAGACCCTGTCTCTAAACAAAATATATAAAAGGGCTGAGGATATGGCTCAGCATGAAGCACCCATGGGTTCAATCCCTGGTACACACCCCCCCACCCAAAAAATTCCTTATGATCAAAATTTTGGAAGCAAGGAGTAGGAGAGAATCACAAATACTCTGACCCAAGCTAAACTCCTTTGTGTGGATGATCTCAAGAGGAAGTAGTTTTGTGCAGCCTCAATTTAACAGAGGCTACAGCATTTTCTTCTTAGTCTGACAACACACCTTCAGTGAAAAATGCATAAACTAGGGAATGGCTGGGGCCAAGGGACATGCAGTGGTGAGGGATAATGGCTAAGGGGCAAATGGTTTCGTTCTAGATATGAAATGTTCTAAAGTTAATTGTAGTGAAATGTACAACTCTGTGAATATACTAAAAGTCACCAAGTTGTACACTTTAAACAGCTGAACCAAGTGGTATCTGATTACATCTCAAAGCTGTTAAAAAGAAAAGTGCAACAAAACAAATGCCCTTTAAGAAGTACTTAAAACTTACCTCCTTCTCCAGATCCAGAACCATTATCTGAAAAGAGAAACAATAAATATAAACACTTTTACTGGAAATTTAATGCTTTCAAATAGTAAAATGTCTTTTTAAAAATAAAACTGTAATATTCATTATCATAACAGTCCCTTTCTTATATTTTGCTATCATTTTTTTTGCTATCTAACATATTTTATGCCTCTCTCAAATGTGACTTGGATACATAATTATCTATAGCTCAAATTTTTTTAACCCATTCAGAAAATGTCCAGGTACAACAGAGTGAAGACCAATAAATATTATAAATAGTTAAATATAAACAACTAATTTTAATTCACTCATTTAAAAGGTGAAAGAATATTTAATTTTGTTAAAGCTTGAGAGGAATAATGAAAAAGCTGTTTCATCACAAAGGCAGGAAAAGAGCTTTGAGTCTTGCTCCATAAATCTTCTTAATGAAATCTGTGGATATCGAACAAAAGCCAACAGGTAGCAAGAGGAGAGGAAAGCCCAGAGGTTTGGAAGCAAAGGAGCTCAGGACTGAGTGTTTCATATTTCTGATGAAATTAACTATTACTTCTAGAAAATCTTATCAGGAGGAATCTCAGAAAATAGCCAATCTAAAATGAAATTAGTGTAAAATATGTATTTTATAATGCTAAAAGAACCAACATACAACAAAATCACATTGAAAAGTAGGTACCACTGTGGCATAATCAGCATGGAGTTGTTAAAAAAAAAACACACACACACACAGAGAATGTAAGTGAAGAATATCACACAGCACTTTACAAGAGAGAGAATACCCTTATTCTAGAGAATCCATACTTCAAATAGTTCTCTGGAGTGAAAGACAACACCCAGCTCCCTTCCCTTCAATCTCCTTTAGACAACAAATTCCCAGATATGGTAAAAACAGGAAAAATGAGAAAAACATAGATTGTATGCAGTACTGATTGCAAAATTTTCATGGGCTTTTGTGGAAATGTCTTCAGTTGAGTTCAATTTTGATTAATTAGCCATAAAGTGACATCTTCCCTAAGTGATGAGGAAAAGAAAGAGTAAATCAATAGGGAAAAAAAACAAAAAACAAGGAAGGGAATTAATTGAACATTGTTCTTAGACCAAATTTTCTTAGGAAAACACTTCCTTATTCCTTCTATTCCATATCCACCCACTGGTGCGTATTCAGTCCCAGACACCATGACACATGCTAGGCATAAAATGATAAATAAGACATGTTCCCAGTGCATGAGACACTTACTCCCAACCTCTTTTTCAACCCATGTCTAATTTTAATAAATATAAAAATATCATGCCTTCCTTGGTCATTTCAAATTTCTAAATAAACACTATGACTACTCATAATGAAGTAGAATAATTCTAGATTATATCTGTAGTCAATACACACACCTTCTCCAGCCCACATCACTCCATCCTAACCCTGAGATTATGTTATACCTCCCTAGACAGGACAATAGTATCCTGAGGTTGAGAAATCACTGATCTGGCTGGAAGCAGACATGTAAGATAAATAAAATACAGTATTTATATGCGTAGATATATATAAAGTGTGAACAAACAGACTAGAGATGTCACAGAAGAAAGATTTCAGAGAAAAGGCTTAAGCTGGCCACACTAACCTGCGCTGGATCCAGTCTCAGAGTAGGCCCAGGTCCATCCCGCCACCTGCAGACACCCAATGGACCTGCAGCACAGGACCACCTCTTCCAACCAGCAAACCACTGTGAGAGCTCAGACTCAGCCCAGATCCGCCCACAAGAACATAGACCCAGGCCCAGGGTAGGTCCAAGTCCGCCACCCTGACCTCCACCTGGGAGCCCAAGCCTAACCCACTTCCATCTTGGGACACTGCAAACATCACCATAGCCATCCTCATAGCCATCCCCATGCGGTAGCCTCTACTTTTTGACAATAGACAGGGCCTAGATAGAAGCAGCTGCATCTCAGAGCAGGCATCCCAAAGACAGTGTAAGGCCCACCCTTTCAGCCCCATCTGTGTAAAACATTGCATCCATCTTGGGGCACCTCCACTATTATCTCAAGTAACCTTGGCTACTGCCACCGCCACCTTTAGTTGCAGTAGCACACACTGAGGGACACCAGCAGGGTGTGGAAGCCTAACATCAAGGTGAGATGTAGACAATCTGCACAGACACTATAAGAATATAGAGTAGAAACTGAAATATCTCAGATCCTCATTGCAAGAAAGGAAGACACATAGACTACATGAAAAAAAAAGGGGAGGAAAGTGCCCCCAAACAAACCAGGATACTACAATAACAGAACCCATGCACAGCAAAGTTGATAAAATGCCAGAAAAGGAGTTAGGAATATTCATAATTAAAATGATCTCTGAATTAAAGAATGACCTAAAAGAGCAAACACAGGCAAAAATTGATCACTCCAACAAAGAGATAAGACAGCAAATACAGGCAATAATTGATAACACCAATAAACAGACAAGAGAGCAAATACAGGCATCCATTGATCACACCAACAAAGAGATAAGGGAGCAAATATAGGTAGCAAAAGATTATTTCAAGAAAGGGATGAGATTCTAAAAAAAGAAAAAAAGAAAAATCAGCAATCCTTGAAATGAAGTAAACAATAAACCAAATAAAAAAAAAAACTCAATAGAAAGCATCACCAACAGATTAGATCACCTGGAAGACAGAACATCAGATAATAAAGACAAAGTATACAATCTGGAAAATAAAGTTGACCACACAAGATGGTAAGGAAAGATGGTAAGGAAACATGAGTAGAACATCCAAGAATTATGGGACAGCATCAAAAGACCAAATCTAAGAGTTATTGGGATACAGGAAGGCGCAGAGTTTCAAACCAAAGGAATGCATAATCTCATCAATGAAATAATATCAGAAAATTTTCAAAACATGAAGAATGAATTGGAAAACCAAATACAAGAGGGTTACAGGACACCAAATATACAAAATTACAACAGATCTACACCAAGGCACATTATAATGAAAATGCCTAGTTCAGAATATTCAGAATAAGGATAGAATCTTACAAGCTGCAGGAGAGAGGAATCAGATTATACATAGAGGAAGACCAATTCTTATCTCAGCAGATTTTTCAACCAAGACACTCAAAACCAGGAAATCATGGACAACATATATCAAGCTCTGAAAATGGATGCCAACCAAGAATCTTATATCCAGCAAAATTAAGCTTTAGATTTGATGATGAAATAAAAACTTTCCATGATAAACAAAAGTTAAAAGAATTTACAACTAGAAAGCCTGCACTACAGAACATCCTCAGCAAAATATTCCAAGAAGAGGAAATAAAAAACAATGATAAAAATCAGCAGAGGAAGGGATTACACTAAAGGAAAATCTAATCAGAGGAGAAACCAAGTCACCTTAAATATCAAAAATTTTTAAAAAAATGGCTGAGAATACAAATCATGTCTCAATAATAACCCTGAATGTTAATGACCTAAATTCACCAATCAAAAGAAACAGATTAGCAGATTGGATTTTTAAAAAGACCCAAAATATGCTGCTTCCAAGAGACTCATCTCATAAGAAAAGACATCAACAGATTGAAGATGAAAGGCTGGGAAAAATCATACCACTCACATGGAATGTGAAAGTAAGCAGGGGTTTCCATCATCATATCAAATAAAGTAGACTTCAAATAAAGTAGCTAAAGTTAATCTAAAGGAATAAAGAAGGACACTACATACTGCTCAAGGGAACCAAACCCCAACAAGACTTAACAATTATAAATATATATGCCCCAAACAATGGAGCATCCACGTTCAACAAACACTTTTCAAATTCAAGAGTCAAACAGACCACAACACAATAATTCTAGGTGACTTTAACACATTTCTTTCACCACTGGAGAGATCTTCCAAACAAAAGCGGAACAAAGAAACTATAGAACTCAATAATACAATCAATAACTTAGACTTAACTGACATATATAGACTATTTCATCCTTCAACAAGCAAATATACTTTCTTCTAAGTAGCACATGGATCCTTCTCTAAAATAGACCATATATTATGCCACAAAGCAACTCTTAGCAAATATAAAAAAGTGGAGATACTACCCTGGGTTCTATCAGATCATAATGGATTGAAATTAGAAATCAATGATAAAATAAGAAATAAAAGCTACTCCAACACCTGGAGACTAAATAACATGCTACTGAATGAACAATGGGTTGCAAGAAGACATCAAGGAGGAGATAAAAAAATTTTAGAGGTGAATGAGAACACAGATAAAACATATCGAAATCTCTGGGACACTATGAAAGCAGTTCTAAAAGGAAAGTTCATTGCATGGAGTTCATTCCTTAAAAGAAGAAAAAGTCAACAAATAAATGACTTAACATTACATCTCAAAGCATTAGAAAAAGAATAACAAATCAACACCAAAAGCAGAAGATAGAAAATAATTAAAATCAAACCTAAAATCAATGAAATTGAAACAAAAAAAATTGAAAAATTTGACAAAACAAAAAGTTGGTTCATTGAAAAAAAATACATAAAATTTACAGACCCTTAACTATGTTAACGAAGAGAAGGAGAGAGAAAACAAATCATTAACATACATGATGAAAAAGGAAAATCAAAACAGACGCTACAGAAATAAAGAAGATAATCAGAAATTATTTTGAAAACTTGTACTCCAATATAATAGAAAACACTGAAGGCGTCAACAAATTTCTAGAGTCATATTTTGCCCAAACTGAATCCAGGATGAAATACACAAATTTAAACAAATCAACTTCAAGTGATGAAATAGAAGACACCCATCAGAAGCCTAACAATCAAGAAAAGCCCAGGACCAGATGGATACATAGCCAAGTTCTACAAGATCTTTAAAGAAGAACTAATGCCAATACTCTTCAATTTATTTCAGAAAATAGAAAAAAGACTTCCAAACTCATTCTATGAAGCCAATACCACCCTGATTCCAAAATCAGGCAAAGACACATCAAAAAAAGAAAACTTCAGACCAATATCTCTAATGAATATTGATGCAAAAATTCTCAATAAGATTCTGGCAAATCGTATACATAAACATATCAAAAATATAGTACACCACAATCAAGTGGGCTTCATCCAGGGATGCAAGGTTGGTTCAACATACAGAAATCAAAAGATGTAATTCATATCGACAGACTTAAAGAACCATATGATCATCTCAACAAATGCATAAAAAGCACTTGACAAAATACAATACCCTTTCATATTCAAAACACTAGAAAAACTGGGGATAACAGGAACATATTTCAACATCATAAAAGTTATTTATGCTAAGCCCCAGACCAACATCTTTCTAAATGGAGAAAAATTGAAAACATTCCCTCTAAAAACTGGAACAAGACAGGGATTACCCTCTTTCACCACTTCTATTTAATATAGTTCTTGAAACACTGGCCAAAGCAATTACACAAACGAAAGTTATTAAAGGGATACGGATAAGTAAAGAAGAACTCAAATTGGCACTATTTCCTGACAATATGATTCTCTACCTAGAAGACCCCAAAAAATCCCACCAGAAAACTTCTAGAATAAATGAATTCAGCAAAGCAGCAGAATACAAAATCAATACCCATAAAACAAAGGCATTTCTGTATATCAGTGACAAATGCTCTGAAAGGGAAATGAGGAAAACTACCTGATTTATAATAGCATCAAAAAATAGGGGCTGCGACTGTAGCTCAGCAGTAGAGCACTCGCCTAGCATGTGCGAGGCCCTGGGTTCGATCCTCAGAACCACATAAAAATAAATAAATAAAGGTATTAAATAAATAAAATAAAATACTTGGGAATCAACAAAAGCAGTAAAAGACCTCTACAAGGAAAACTACAGAACGCTAAAGAAAGAAATTAAAGAAGACTTTAGAAGATAGAGACTTTAGAAGATGGAAAGCTCTACCTAATTCTTGGATAGGCAGAATTAATATTGTCAAAATGACCATACTATCAAAAGCACTCTACAGATTTAATGCAATTCCAATCAAAATCCCAATGACATTCTTCATAAAAATAGAAAAAGCAGTCATGAAATTCATCTGGAAAAATGAGAGAGCCAGAATAGCTAAAGTAAGAAGAATGAAGCAGGTGGCATCACCACACCAGACCTTAAACTATACTACAGAGCAACAGTAACAAAAACAGCATGGTATTGGCACCAAAATAGACTTGTAGACCAATGGTACAGAATAGGACAGAGACTATCCCACATAGTTACAGTTATCTTATATTTGACAAAGGCGCCAAAACCATACTATTGGAGAAAAGACAGTCTCTTCAACAAATGGTTCTAGGAAAACTGGAAATCCATATGCAACAAAATGAAATTAAGCCCCTATCTCTCACCTGCACAAAACTCAATTCAAAGTGGATCAAGGACCTAGGAATTAAGCCAGAAACACTACATCTGTTAGAAGAAAAAAGTAGGCCCAAATCTCCATCGCGTCAACTTCCTTAATAAGACTCCTATAGCATAAGAATTAATATCAAGAATCAATAAATGGGATGGATTCAAACTAAAAAGCTTCTTCTCAGCAATAGAAACAATCAGTGAGGTGAATAGAGAACCTACTAATTGGGAACAAATTCTTACTACACGCATGTCAGATAGAGCATTAATCTCAAATATATAAAGAACTCAAAAATCTTCCATGTATGTATTATATGTCAAAATACATTCTGCTGTCATGTATGACTAAAAAAAATTAAAAAATAAAAATAAATCGTATGGCAAAAAAAAAAAAGAACTCAAAAATCTTAACACCAAAAAAACAAATAACCCAATCAATAAATGGGCCAAGGAACTGAACACCCACTTCTCAGAGGATATATAATCAATCAACAAATATATGAAAAAATGTTCAACATCTCAAGTAATTAGAGAACTCCAAATAAAAACTACTCAAAATTTCATCTCATTCCAGTCAGAATGGCAGCTATTAAGAATACAAACAACAGTAAGTGTTGGCGAAGATGTGGGGGAAAAGGTACACTCATACACTGCTGGTGGGACAGCAAATTGGTGCAGCCAATATGGAAAGCAGTATGGAGAATCCTTGGAAAACTGGGAATGGAACCACCATTTAACCCAACTATCCCACTCCTTGGATCTATACCCAAAGGACTTAAAAACAGCATACTAGAGGCTGGGATTGTGGCTCAGCGGTAGAGCACTCGCTTAGCAAGGGCGGGACCTGGGATCAATCCTCAGCACCACATAAAAATAAAGGCATTGTGTTGTGTCCATCTACACGTAAAAAATAAATATTTTTTTAAAAAAAACCAGCATACTAAAGGGACACAGCCATATCAATGTTTATAGCAGCACAATTCACAATAGCTAAACTCTGGAACCAACCTAGATGCCCTTCAGTAGATGAATGGATAAAGAAAATGTGATATATATATATATATATATATATATATATATATATATATATATATATATATAATGGATTATTATTCAGCATTAAAAGAGAATAAAATCATGGCATTTGCAGGTAAATGGATGGAGCAGGAGAATATAATGCTAAGTGAAATTAGCCAATCCCCAAAAACCAAATGCCAAATGATTTCTCTGATTTAAGGATGCTGATCTATAATATGCTGTAGGGGGGCGGGTGGGATGAGAGAATTAAATGAACTCTATAGGGCAAAGGGGAAAAGGGGAGGAAGGGAATGGAGGGGGCTTGGGGTAGGAAAGAGTGGAATGAGATGGTCATCATTACTGCAAGTACATGTATGAAGACACAAAGGATGTGACTCTACTTGTGTACAGCCAGAGATATAAAAAAGTGTGCTCTATATGGGTAATATGAATTGTAATGCATTCTGTTGTAATATATAATAAATTAAAAATTTTTTTCCAGTTTCCAAAATTTTATTATCAATTATGTCAGTAAATTAAAATTTTTTTAAAAAAAGAAAAGGCTTAAGTCCAATCTTAAAGCATAAGAAAAAGATTTTTCAAGTAAGGAAAGGAGAATGATAATTCACACTCCTGAAATAGGACCTGTTAAAAACCAAATGATAAAACACTGGCTCACTCAGCAAATAACAAAATCAATATAGCACCTCATAGTTAGTTCGTTCAATCATTACTTAACAATCCCAGGAGATGATATCTATTTAACAATTTAAGAAATTGGGGCTTATATGAAAAATAAGAGTTGGGGTAACTTTAACTTAGTTCAGTGCTCTATCCAATCTATCACTGTGGCTCCTAATATTTAACATTCACTACCCATTCAAAGCACTTGGTGTCTTATACACATGCTCCTCATAAATGATGCACAACAAATTTGGGATTAGAAAGAACTCCATAATCCTCCTTAGTTTCTAGACTAAATCTGTTAAAAAAAAAAAAAAAAAAACCATAGTTAAGAGAAGTATATAAAAACTACACCACATGGTAGTCTCCTAGCCTAAGATCATAATAATTTCTTTAAGTACCTAATTAGTGAAAAACTATGGCTTTGTCCAAAGAGAGGTCTGGCCTTTACCCTTGCCTTCCAATATATATCTCTTCTAGGGGAAGGTGGCACATCAGGACTCAGTGTGGGGCCAGACACATCTAGTAGTCTTGAGTGTGGCTGTCCACACTAGAAAGACCAGCCATACAATTTAGTGTCAGGGATTTGGGTCACATGGTATTAGCAAACTTAGAGTCTCAGATAAAACACATGAACAATCAATGACACTTGCTTAATGGAGCCTCAATAAAAACCAAACACTGAGGCTTGGCAAGCTTTCCTGGTTGACAATATTCCACACATAGTATCACACAGTGAGGCCAATAGTTAATACAGTTCAAGACTCCATGGAGAGAATACAGCCACAAGCCCCATGTTTGGAACACTCCCAAGTCTGCCCTGTGCATCTCTTCCTTTGACTGATTTTCATATGCCTTCTTACCTTCAATAAATCATAACCATGAGTATAATGACTCTTGGTAAGTTCTAGCAAATAACTGAGCTTGAAGGTGGTCCGGGGAACCTCTTGAACTTGGTGTCGAAAGTGAGGGTAGGATTGGGGTCTGGGTCTTAGCTGGCCCTAAAAATCTTTACCTTTAGTAAAAGGGAGAACTTTAACATAATAGGAAAAGAAAGTAAATGGGGATAACATTAGTCTCCACCCTTCCCAGTCATTTCATATTATAATTTTAATAACAATACCTCCCCTGCATCCCTACCCTCAATAAAAACAGCAGAGAGAAGCTAACATTAATACTTCCCAAAATCAACTACCACCAATTCCAGAAAAAGGAAGCAAATATACACAGCTTGGCAGCAATGGGTGGCAAAAACAAAGGGAAGAGCTTGAAATGACATACAACCTAAACCTAAAATGTTTCTCATGGTTTTTTACAGATACTCCTCAAACCCTAGGGCAAAGGATGTGCAAAGTCTTCACAAAAAAAACCTCAAGACATAAAAATGGAGAAGTTACACACTAAGGATGTGAATGGGGGTGAAAAAGAGCTCCCCGCAATTTTAGGAATCTCTCTCTGGAAGGAATTTTCCTTTTGGCAAATATAATGGAACCAGTTCTAACATTTACTCAGAAGAATGTCATACATACCAGAATAACATGGTCCTCTTGCTACTACTGTTATCTCTTTCTGGTGCTTACAAGCAGCCCTTCTGAGAAAGCATTCATTTTGATAAGTGTCCCCATTTGATCCACAGACGGGAATATAATTTGTATGGCACTACAAATGAAACAAAAATAAACACTCAGAACTAGGCATGAATATTAATAGTTTATTTCACATTCATGAATGCAATACCATAGTATTATGACAGTCTACTACTGAATAGTTTGTTCTTTTACTTGGTTTTTTTAAAAAAGAAAAATTATGCTACTTCTTCATACCTTTTTCACATTCATAATGAAAATACCAACTATCTGTAAAAATGAGACTGAAAATCCTTATGCTATCTATTTCATTAACTTGCCATGAAAAGCCACTGAGATAATAAGAGGAAATTCTTGACAATGTTTGTAAAGAGCAATAGGTTAGGTAATGTCATTTTAGTATTACCAAAATTCATTTCTTTAATACTTCTATAGTAGGGAAGTTCCAAACTAAATGCTACAGAAGACACAAAGAACTATAATATGATTTCTATTCCCAGAGACCTTATACTCAATAGAGTCATAAAAATATGACAGAAAATGCTGCATAGCTAAATCATAACCCAAATTAATAGGATATACAAATAGAATATACATCTTTATTTTCATGTATACCTGGTAGGAAACTGCTTCAGATTCTTTTAATCCAAACATTTATTATAAGCAAATAGAAGTATCTGACTGCTGTGTTGTCTTTCTTCTAGTATAATCATCTGCATTCATTTACATGTTTGCCTAGTGTTGTAAGCTAGAGTACTCAAAAAACAAACCTCCTCAGAGAAAGTGAAATGTGAACTGGGCCTTGAAGGATGGGTAGAAATAAGAAAGTTTAAGAAGAAAAAGGATGGGCTGGGGTTGTAGCTCAGTAGTAGAGCGCCTGCCTTGCACATCTGTGAGACTGGGTTCAGTCCTCAGCACCGCATAAAAAATAAATAAATAAAGATATTTTGTCCGGGCTGGGGAGGTGGCTCAAGCGGTAGCGCACTCGCCTGGCATGCGTATGGCCCGGGTTCGATCCTCAGCACCACATACAAACAAAGATGTTGTCTGCCGAAAACTAAAACAAATAAATATTAAAATCTCTCTCTCTCTCTAAAAAAAAAAAAAAAAAAAGATATTTTGTCCATTTACAACTAAAAAAATTTTTTTTTAAAAAAGAAGAAGAAAAGGGGTAAGATAGGTTTGAGAAATGTCAAAGGATCTGCATGTTTTTAAAAAACTTTAAAACTAGCCAGGCATGGTGGTGCATGCCTGTCATCCCAGCAGATCAAGAAGCTGATGCAGAAAGATCACATGTTCAAGTCCAGCCTCAGAAACCTAGTGAGGTCCTAAAGCAACTTAGCAAGATCCTGTCTCAAAATAAAAAGTAAAAAGGGCTGGATATGTGGCTCAGGAATTTATTGTTATTAAACTAAGTTTAATCCTTGATACAAAAAAACTTTAAATTTCTACATTGTCAAAAATATCATAAATTAGCTGGGCATGGTGATGCACAACTATAATCCCAAAAGTTCAGGAGGCTGAAGCAGGAGGATGCAAGTTCAAAACCAGCCTCAACAACTTAGGGAGGCCATGAGTTAGAGAGACCCTGCTTCAAAATAAAAAATAAAAAGAGCTGAAATGTGGTTTAGTGATTAAGCACCACTGGGTTCAAACCCCAGTAAACCCCCCCCACACACACACACACAAAAAAAGTCTAAATGAATAGTTTTAAAATCTGAGGGAAAAATTGTTGAGAGCCACAGCCTGAGGGGCCCCAGCAAACTTCCAGCTGCCAGCAAACTTCCAGCTGCTGGCTGATGATTGGCTCACAGCGGCCCCAGCAACATCTAGCTGATTGGCTCCTCGGCCCCAGCAACATCTAGCTGATTGGCTCCTCTGCGGTGATGCTCATTGGACTGTTTCCCTGCCCTTTCAGACCACGGAGCTGCTCATTGGGGGACTTTTTTGGCTCCGCCCACGTGACCCAGCCAATCGGCCTCAAGAGCAGGAGGATTGTGGGAGGTGGAGAGAAGCTTGTGTGGGAGAGAGAGGCTTGGGGAAAGCCGGTGGTGGCAGTTGAGGCTCTGAAGGTTTTTCCTGAGAGACTATTTTGTTTGTCGTGTGTGGTTCTAAAAATAAAGTTAGTTTCTTTTGACAAGTGGCTCCTGATTGTGCCCAGCCAGACTGCGGCATTTGGTGGCTCGCACGGGGAGCGACTGAGGGTAAGTGAAACTGCTCGCCCCTGAGGGCAGGGCGAGAGGATGGGTAGCCATTTTAAGATTCCTCTTTTATTTTGCTTCACTTTTGTTTTAAGTTGCCTGTCCCTGGAGATGAGTGAGACGGAAGAAAAACCGCTCACATCTGAGGAAAAACTATTTACGTCTGAGGAACAGATAGGGAGAAAGGACGGATGCACATGTCAGGAGGATAGAAAGGCTATAATGACTTTTTGTTGTTCCCTTTTTATTTCATTCTGTCTCGGTTTTGTTTGGCGTCATCTTGTTGGGTTGTATTATAGTAGAAATATGGGATCAGAAATTAGTAAAAAACAAACTGAAAGAGTGTTAAGTAAATTGTTAGAGGAAGGAGGCATCCCAGTAAAATCAAGAGCAGTCAGGGCATACGTTGATACAATACAAAAATGTAGCCCATGGCTTTTTAAGGAGGAGTTGTTGAATATATCACAATGGAACCATCATGGTGAAGATTTAAAAAGAATAGAAAAGAAAAGCCCAGGGACTCTGCCAGTTGGCACATTGCCATTGTGGACATTCATATCTTGTTTGCTTAGTCCAAAGCCTTCAGTTCAGACAATGGTAGAGGAAGGAGAAGACATAATGATTCAAGTAAAAGAGAAGGCCTCTCAAGCTAGTCAGACAGAGAAAGAAAGTGTAAAACAGAAAAAGCCATCAGGGGGAAAGTTACAACAGGAGACTGCTACACACCTTTCTATCACCAGAGGGTGTAAGTGTCCAACCAACAGCACCACCTCTACAGGAGACTGCTACTAACACCTTTCTATCACCAGAGGGCGTAAGTGTCCAACCAACAGCGCCACCTCCATATGCTGGGAGGCCCCCAACCCCCGCAGTTGATAGTTGGGATCCTGAGACAAGGTCTCAAATATTAACATGCCCTGTATTTGAGGCAGGAGGGCAGCGATTTTACCAAGTTTTAAATTTCAAAACAGTGAAGCAGCTAAAAGAGGCTGTAACAACCTATGGTCCTCAAGCACCCTTCACTGTAAGCTTGGTCGAATCCATTAACAACTTGAACATGACGCCAGCAGATTGGGCTAATATGTGTAAAGCTGTGCTAAATGGAGGACAATACCTGTTATGGAAGGTTGCCAATGAGGAATTTTGCAAGGAGACGGCTAGGCGAAATGCAACAGCTGGTTATCCTCAGAGAAATCTAGATATGTTGTTAGGAAAGGGACCTTATGAGGATCAGCAGCAACAAATTGCATATGATCCTGGCGTATACGCACAAATTGCTGCAGATGCAATTAAGGCATGGAAGACTTTACAAGGACATGGAGGTTTACAAGGTCAATTATCTAAGGTAATACAAGGAGCTAATGAACCTTATGCTGAATTTATAGATAGGCTTATTCAAACAGCTACCAGAGTTTTTGGGAATACAGAACAAGCAATGCCATTACTAAAACACCTGGCTTATGAGCAAGCGAATCGTTGGTGCAGAGATATCATTAGACCATGGAAACATGAAGATTTAAACACATATATTAAATTATGTAGAGACATTAATGAACAAGAGCAAGTCGTGGCAGCTGCAGTAAAACAGGCTTTAGATGCCAGAGACATTAATGAACAAGGGCAAATTGTGGCAGCTGCAGTAAAACAGGCTTTAGATGCCAGGCCAAGAACATGCTACAATTGTGAACAAACAGGACAGTTTAAAAGGAATTGCCCCATTGGAGGAGGGTTTAACAAAACTAGGTATCAAAGGAGTAGAATACCAGGTATTTGCCCACGATGCCGTAGAGGGAGACATTGGGCTAATGAATGCCGTTCTCAAACCACCATAGAGGGTACTCCATTATCAAAAAACGAACAAGGACCAGGTGTTTATCCACAATATCGTGGAGAAAGGCATCGGGCTCCATTGCCAAAAAACGGACAGGGGGGCCCAATGCTCCGGGGCCCAAAACCACAAATATACGGAGCACTGGAGGAACCCAGCAACCCCATCAGGGTAGTGCCCAGGACACATTGTCCATCAGATCCCTCATCAGACAAACCAGAGGGAGCGCAGGGTTGGACATCTGCGCCTCCGGCAGAGCAGTACTAACTCCAGAGATGGGAGTTCAAATCATTCCCACAGGGGTGAAAGGACCTCTTCCCAAAGGAACAGTAGGCTTATTATTGGGACGCAGCTCTTCTACTCTAAAAGGACTTATGATAAGTCCTGGGGTAATTGATCCCGATTATGAAGGTGAAATAAAAATTATAGCCAGTTCTCCAAAGGGTATATCAGTAATTTCACCAGGAGATAGAATAGCACAGTTACTAATAATACCCAGCCTACATGATAAATTTTCCAGTCGTACTGTAGAAAGAGGTTCCAAGGGATTAGGCTCCACAGGTGTAGATTGGGCTATGCTTTCTTTAAATTTAGATTCTCGCCCCATGCTAAAACTAAATATTCAAGGACATGAATTTAATGGGCTACTGGATACAGGTGCAGACCTTAGCATCATCTCTCCTCAAGAATGGCCAAAACATTGGCCATTACAACAAGCCACTCAAACGCTTCGAGGCCTAGGAGTGGCGACTAATCCCCATAGAAGTGCAATGGTATTAGATTGGAAGGATCCTGAAGGATGTGAAGGAACTATACAGCCATATGTATTTGATCATCTTCCCGTAAATTTATGGGGACGAGATGTCCTAGATCAATTAGGTTTGACATTAACAAATAACATCAACCAAAATGCACCCACTATTATGACTAGACAAGGTTTTAGGAAAGGAAAAAGATTAGAAAAACAAGAACAAGGTATAGCAGCACCAATACAAATAGATCAAGGAACAGACAGACATGGGTTGGATTTTCAGAAAGGGCCAC